TAGTGGCCACGGTGGGGTTGGGTTGAGGTTGAGGTTGGAGTGGATGATCTCAGAGGTCTTTTCCAACCTCAACGACTCTGCGAGGGTTTTGCAACGAAGTCGTGAGGGACGCAAGGGCACGCACGCCACTCCCCCCACCCCAGCCTTGGATTTTTTCCTTACTAAAAAATAAAAACACCAACTCTTTATCTATGTGCAAGATACGGATCGAACGTCAAAACGTTTCACATTTTGAGCTCGTAATTCTAAAAAAAACAAACCAGGTGATTTTTTTTTTGTTTGTTTTTGGAAGAAGGGCTAAGGAACGGAATGTCAGCATCCTCGCTCTTGTGCATCCCACGAGGAAAAGCAGCGGGGAGGAGTTCCTACAAAAAATAATGGGAGACGTCCCTGATCCTCTGAGCACGGCGAGGCTGGAGAGTCCCCCCAATTCCTTACCTGAACCTGCCGGTAACACCCTCATCCAGCTCAAGAAGTGACCGATAAGAACACCGAAAGGAAACAGGTATGAAGAATTAGGCATAAAAGTTGTCGCACCAAGCGAAAAAAATAAGATCATTTCCTCTCCCCCCCCCCAAAAAAAAAACAACCTGTTGTGGTTTTTTTTTGTTGTTGTTTTGTTTCAAAACTGGCAGTGTTAAGAAGGCAGCATCGGAAGTGTTTGATATTTCGGTAATGCCACAAAGCCTCGGTGGCGAGACGAGCGCTTCCGCCTTTGGAGGCTCAAGTCCCAACGCTCGATTTCACCGAGATCCTTGCCCAAACAAAATGAAAAGCCTGTAAAAAAACGTGGGGTGGTTTCTTTTGTTTGGTTGTTGGTTGGTTGTTGTTGTGTCGTTGCTCCAAATTTCTCCCGGCGGCGCCGTCCGCTCCCACCGAGCTGCGTGGGGCCCGCCTGGGTTTAGTGTTACCGTAGCAGCCTTTGGAGAACGGCGCCGTTTTCAGCAACAAACTTCAGCCTAATCCCAAGAAAAAGAAAAAAAAGCCAACAGCCCGAGAGTCAGAATTCATCAGGAAGTTTACTACAGGGTACCAATACACCCATGCTTGGAAGTCTTTAAAAAAAGAAGTCCGCCCGTCGTCACCTCCGTGAATTAAGAGTGAATTTGGATTGCCTGAGTAACAGCCGTCTGGCAAACGGGACACGCCGGCGTCTCCTTCTCGCAGATCTTGTTGGCGCACTCCATGCAGAAGAGGTTGTGGCCACAAGGGACCAGGGCCGCGATGACTTCGCTCTCGAAGCAAATCACGCAGTCGTGTTTCCGTCGCGATTCGGGGGGCGAGCTGGAGGTGGAGCCACCGTTGGAAGAGGAGTAACTGTTGGTACCGTTGGAGAAAGCGGGGATGTAGATGGGAAGGCCGCCTTGGTGGCCGCCGTTTGGCGGGTCGCTCCTCACCCTCCGAGCCAACGGGTGATCCAAACTTTCGGGGAAGGTGGGCGACAAGCGAGGAGTCGACGGTTGGCTCCCTCGGCGTTGAGGCTTGGCGTTACTAACGGGTTCGCTACCGAAGCCGGAGAGCGGGTTGACGGGTTCAAAAGGGGTCCAAATGGTTTGGGAAGGCGTCGGTAACGAGTCGTAGGCCGGAGAGTCGAGCGCGAGGTCTTCGGCGCCCACCGAAGGCAGCGTTTCCCCAAACCAGAAGTTGCCCGTGCTGAAGGGACTCGTGGGGCTGAAATCAGCCAACCTATTGCTTCCAAAATAGGAATCGGTGGAGCCGCTTCCCAAGGAGCTGGAGCTGTCGTTCCTGTAATTGGAGATCATCCTGGCGCGGCCGGGAGGGACGGGATTAGAAGCCAACCACGCCGATCCCAAAGCGGCCCCTTCGAAGCTGACGTCCGTACCGTTGTAGTGGAAATCGTTCTCCTCGTTCAGCTCAATGTAGTTGCCCGTCCGCATGGCGATGTGCATCTCGATCTCCTCGCGCGCCCGGTCCACGTTTTCGGGCATGCCGGTGACTTCGAAGACTGGCTCCTTATCCCTGCTGGGAGTGACGATGTAGGTGTGGGTCTGCTGCTGGATCCTTTTGATCGTGGCTCCTTTAGGTCCGACCACCAACCCCACGACGCGGTAAGGCACCCGGACTTGCACCGTCGTCTGGCCCGGCAGGTTGGGGGTACCGGGCAAACCCCCCAGGGCAGGGCCGTTCTTGTTACGCGACGCTCGGATCATGGAGAAGTGCTCGGCGGCGGAGAGGATTTCCCTTTTGGCCATGGCTACGTCCTCTTTCCGACCCGTGACGACGAAGACGGGTTCTTCTCCACGAACGGGGGTCTTGATGTACGTGTTCGTCTTGGCCCGCAGCGCTTTGATTTTGCAACCTGGCGGGAGGAAACACAACGCAAAGTTGAGCTGGGCATTTTCCACAGTCCCGTTTGCAGCTGGTTGAGAGTCTCAAGAAACCATAAATGAACACGGATGGCTTTTTCTTTGACAGCCACGTTCATCTTTATCCCATAAATACAGGTGGGTTTCTATTTTCTGTATTAATTTGGTACCCTCCAGTTATTTCTAAGATCCTCCGAAGGCTCACGCGTACACGCGCTTCCTTTTCAAGCGCCACCTAAAAGCAAATTAAACATTTACAAGTGAGAGAAGGGTCTCAATAGGCTATAGATACAATTATTGACTGACCGAGGACTCTCCACTTGCTTCCTGTTATCAATAAGCGTTATTTAAACCTTATTCATCCCTGTGGGATGAAGGAGTCGCGCTGTGGACTGCCAAGCAGGAGTTTGAGCAGTTTGCTGCATGTAAATAAGCCTTGCTATGGGATATTCTGTGTCTGTGTGGAAATTCTCACTCGCAGAGTGAAATTTCTTCCCGTTTACTTTAAATATCTCCAAACTGGGTATGCAAAATAGCCTCTCCAAATCGCGTTTTGCCAGTCCCTTGCACCCAAGGTACCACTAGAGATAGCAATTTGACAGCTCAAAAGCCACTCAAAGAGATGCAGTCACAGCATCCCAGGATGTGAGGAACTGGAAGGGCCCT